AGAGTAAAATCTTTCAAAACAACCTTGAAAATGTCCACTGTTGGTCTTTAACCCAGGCCCTCATCATGTCTTCTTGGGGTCCACAAACATGACTGAGATCTGTCATGTCTGTGTGCCTGAACTGTCCAGCCTGGTGTTTATGAAGTAATTGAAGTGCAACCAAATGACAGTAAAATATACTCCTAATTAAGATTATTAACACTAATGAATGAAACCTTCGGGTAGCTTGGATCTTACTTTGGTCGTTTGAAACGCACACTGAACATATAGTTCCCAGGGATGTTTGTCCAAGTTTGTAGCCTCTGTTTTTCCTCCATTGCAGAAATTGAATCTAGTCCCACTCAATACTTGGGCAGACGTCAACTCAATATGGCCCACCCAATGATGATGGAAGGAGTCTGGTTTGAGAAGTACAGGGTAGATGATGCCGAGAAGGCTTACCAGGAGCACAGAGCCAAAGAGTTGTCTGGACTGGTGGTGGAGGTAGGTACAGACATGTACATGCAGCAAGGTAGAGCTCACAACTCCACTTCAAGGTTACACAAACTTCAAATTTTGAAAAAGCAATTCATTGATAGATCGGATTTATTTATCTGGGGGGATTATTCGTTTGAAATGCGTCAAAATTTGTAACTTAAATATACATGTGTAGATGTATCTAATTCACTTCAGTGTAAAGATCTTTAAGACTATATGAGTGTTCAACTTAAAAAAGTGCAGACATGTAACCTTTTCTGTTACAACCTTCAGCAAATTTCACTAGTAAGTTTGTAAGTCTTCTGTGGTTTGGGAAAGGTACAGTGTAAGTTTGCTTGCCTTTGGAATTTTGAAAAAAATGCATCCGCTGTGCATTAGACTGTTACAGGTACTTTACATGTACCCTAGGTAATGGGTGATCAATTGGGCTTACATGTATATTGATAAAGGGTAATGGACTTGTATCTTTCAACTCTTATTACCAAAACTTCTTTCTCTCTGTGGTGGTTCATGTATCTGGTTCGGCGGGTGAAGGTCTTCCAAGGGAGTGAGCACATTTTGTTGTGCTGTCTGTTCCAAACCTTACATCCAAATTTGTCTTTCCTAAGTTCAGAGATTGTAGCCTTTCTTTTTCACAGAAATCCTTGCTTCAATTTCAAACCAAGCAGTGAACGTCTTTCAGACCTGTGTTTAATATTTTCTTCCTTTTTTCATATTTTCATTTTGTTACGGCTGTTTGCCAAGGGCTGGGTGGCTCATTTAGCATGTTTAGAAGTTACCCTATCCTTTCTTCAGCATTTGCCAAAACCAAATAATAAGTATTTCATCATGTTCCTGATTAAGATCCTTTCCCGTCCGTGATTAGCTCTGTACGGGGTCAGTCTGCTGGATTTTCTCTGCACCATTGTCCTAACATCCAGTTGCACAAGGCCTATTTCACCAACACAATAAGTCTGTGTTACATCAAACCAGTGGGGTAGCCAGGCTCTTGGGGGAGGGGGGAGTTCTTGGGGGGGGTTGCCTCTTGGATACGGCACAGGACCTTGACTCAGTAGCAATTGCCGTTTATCTTTACACTAAGACACTCCTTGTAGACTGGCCCTAGTGTGGTGCTTGTCAGCGCTTTATGTGTGCCCCTGTTTGCAATTGTCTGTTTCATGTACATGTACTAACATGTTGCTGGGTTTTCCACAATTGTGCCGTTGTTTTGCTCTGACATATCTCAGTCCAGTTGGGCAAGTTTGCTTGTCTGCCTTCAAGTTTTCAAAAATTGGACATGCTAGGTGATGTGTTGGTGTTGGGTTGGAAGATTAAGGGAACTGACGCTGAAAAGTGTTTCAGCTGTGTGACCTCTGCTTACTGAAATCAGGAAAATTAGATTTATGGCTTACTCTTGAATGTTATTTGAAATTTGTGACCTTATGAATTGGAATGGTGACATTGTGAATTGCAGTGGAAAAACTAATTTCTGTGGTTTGTTTTAATCAGAATATCACATGCTCTGCTTTTGATTCCTGATTTTGGTAGACTGGGCCACATTTGTCATGCAGTTTTTGCACTTTAACTGCATTTGTTGCAGCTTTCCCGTTTGTTCCCAGCAATGGCCTGTATCACCCCACTGTTTGAGTACCTGTTTTTACACAAATACTTTTTCAATAGATATGCAGCAGTTTTCTTTAAGCAACTTTTGTCCACAAGAGTAATTGCAGATTCATCCTGCTTGACCCCCCCAAAAGGCACAAAATGCCTGCTCTGTCATTTCTTAATTATCAATTACAGTCATGTCAAAAGTAATGTAAAAAGGCCGTAGATTTTAATTGTCACTCATTACCACTGAAAACTCTCTATGAGTGCGATTGATTCATAATAGAAAGGGTCCATTCTCATAATTCTTATAATGTTTAAAGCTAATTGGGGTCAGGTGGTTCTCGTTCGTATGGTATCCAGTATTCATCATCGGTAGCCAGAGTTATTTTGCCTTCAAACTGCCACATCGTCAGAAGAGTTTCCTGCAATGCAAAAATGTAATAAATAATACAAACATTAAATACAAAAGTGTTATACTATTCACAGAATGCCAAGAGCAAGCAAAAACGGCATGTCTCCTGACCATTTTCCCCCCAAATATATTAGAGATGTGATACTTTCTCATTTTTCTTTGTCGTACATGATTGTGCAAGTGGTGGAAAGGATTAAAGTAAGAAAAAATGCTTTGGGATTCTTTTTTTCCATCTGCATTAAAAAAAAATGCATTAAAAACTTTCTTTGCAAATAATCACCAAAGCCAGCATTGCAAATACTGTCATGCTATCGGATATTAAAAAAAAGTCACTACGATTCGGAAATGAGCCCTTTCTGTCAACAGTGAAGCAGGGTACCAGGTAAGGGACCTGCCAACATGCGCATGGCTATGGACTGTGCACAAACCTACACTTGTCGTTCTCTCTGCACTACCTGCAGGCCTCCAGCCCTAGCGCCCAATCAGAATCGGCCAAGAGCGACCTCGCTGGCCAGATTGCACGTGCACGACAGAACATTCAAAACACACTGAATGCTGTGAGTAAACGGCCCGCTTTTATAAAAAAGATTTGATGGATCTGTAAATCCTTGTTGGTGTCAAAAGTCAAATATGACTTATGAGCAAATGATATGTTTAATCCATTTTATCCGTTGTCATTTTTTTAAAAAACCCATTTGTGTAATTTTTTTCAGTCACTGAGGTCGCAAGCATGGACACGAGTCTCTTTTCTTAGTCCGTTGGTTTTTTTTTTTCATTGTTATGGATGGCGGCTCCGGTTTGTGTTCGTTTCATGTAATTAACAAGTGAAATTATTTTGCAGAGCAAGTGCATGTTTCTTTTGTTTGTGATTTTAAAAACTTTACATTCACATTTAATCTAAAATATACATCAGTTGAGACCCTGATAACAGAGGGAAGATACGTATTTTGCAAGAGTTTTGATTTCAGAAGCTGGAATTTGAGCCAGAATGTGGACTTGCAGCCCTACCAGTCCAGAATTTATTTCCCATCCAAAGTTTTCTTGGTACAAGTAGATATGCATACTTGATTGAGCAGCAGTTACTGTTTGCGTGAACACAGCATGCTGTAAGACCATCTCTGAAATGGAAAGAAGTGTGATGTGAGGGTTTCTTGCTTTGTGAGACAGTCTTGCCCAAAAAATACACATCCCTCTCCAAAAACAGGGGATCTGAGCCTCTTTAATCAAAAGGCCAGTAAATGCAATATCATAGAATTCAGAGAAACATGGAGACATCTGCAAGCTTCCTGAATTGACCTGTGTTTGCCAATGACAGGAGAGCATTTTTTTCGGTTGCCACTTGGCTGCCATCCCCTTTAACACTTCTTTCTAATCCCAACCCATTGTGCCACTATCCATTTCTTCCATAGTGTGCTGGTGTGTGTTCCTAACACTAGAATGTACATAGTCAAAACATCTCTTAGCCCATGGGTTGCGGAGATGTATAAAAAAATAATTGAAAAATCGGAAATTACCACCAGTTTTGGATACAAATACTCGGCCCACTTCTCCAACTTTTCCTCTCTGTACTCTACCTTCATGTCTAACCCTGACCACACCCCAAACCAATGTGCCCATCTCCTCTCCTACCCCAAACTTTCCACAGTTGTCCTTTTTTCGTATTAAGCATCGTGTGATTATTCTCAGCTTGCATGTTCCATTAACTCTGTCCATCGTCAATTTGACCAGTTTAAAACCAGTCAACTTGAATATATGACAGTTGGTGTTCCTACTTTGCTGCACAGGACTGGAGGTGTAGTGAAGATTTATGTGCTTAGAATACCCAGACGTATATGTAACTTAGAGTGTCAGTTACATGTATCAACAGTAGCAGCAGTGGCTGCTTTTACAAGTTCAGAGCTTGAACAATTTTCTACTCTAACCCCCACACAGCTTGTTAAAAATTGTATTTGAAATGGTAGGATTCACGAGAGTTTAAGTCAGTGAGTGCCCTTGTTAAATTCACAAATACCATGAAACCTTTTTTCCATTGTGAGTTAACCAATTCCCAAGAGAGCCATTCGGAAAGACAAACAAAAAGAAACAACACTGTCCATGTTTAGGGGGAGGGAAGTGTTTGCCTCCTGAAGGATGAAGATACCCCCAGTCTGGTCATACTTATCAGTAACTTATCAGAATCAGTAACACTCAGCATGATCCCCTGTTCAGGTCCAAACCCGCGGTAAGACGCCATTGTACATGTAACTACCAACTATGGCTGCGTCTGGAAAGGGTGTTGTTCACAGCTGTGGCTATTCGCTGTAGTGCATCAGTGGCAAGAAACCAAAGCCGTAGCCACTGAATGCTCAGTAGCCTTACAACTTGTCCTCCTGATGCATATTGCATGTGTATTATTTTGCGCTCGTTCATACATGCAGCAGTAAATTGTATGGTGATATATTAGTCAGTGTTCTGTTACTTCTGTGTTCAATGCTCATTGTCACATTTCTGTGAAATGTGAAAACATCATAAATATATGTAAGCAATTAGAGTTGCGAAGTAATAAATTGAACTTTTTATCAGCCTGGAAGAAAGAAAACAGAAAGCCCCCTAAAACAAAAAATATAAAAAAATTAAAAAATCAACTGATTGGAACAATTCAAAATGCATGAAAGCAAAGTTATTTTGCTGCATAAATTTTATTTGGGTAGCAAATGTTATCCTTCAGTTTTTGTTGATGATAAAGTAAAGTTAAAATGTATTTTCACTTGAGAAAATCACTGGAACATCTCCTTATGTTTCCTCTTCAAGGGTGTTGGCCTGGGAATCGGGGTAACAGTTGACAACCCAGACCTTGCTGCACGTCTCGCTGCAGTCGAGAAGGAAAATGCCGATCTGCGTCGAGGTGAGTTGAATCATTCAGTAAAACGGCCTCTATGGTTTTTTTGGTCATACTGTGATCAAATGAGACTTTATGTGTTCACTTGGTTATGCTAGTTTGGTTTGGACTTACTGTGGTATTTTTGCAAAACTGTCTAGGCAATAGGTGCATGACATGAGTGGTGTCGAAGTGTAGCCTAGCCCGACTTTTTCAAACAGTAAGATACCATTATCGCAATCCTTTAACAAAATCGGACTTCACAAATACTGACCCTCAGTGGTCTTTTGTTCAAGATCTAAATCTCACTGCATCACCGCTTTTTGACACTCGAAGACAATGTCACAGAGCAATATTTACTTCAGCACCCGGTTGTGACCCACAGTCGCTTTAGGGCTCCACACACGCTCAACCTCCACCGTTTGAACCTCTGTGCGTGCACAAACTCAATGTGAATCACTCAAGCAGGGAGATAAGTACTGATGTTACCCTGCGTACAGAATTCACCAGAGCATGTTTGATTGTCCTCCGTTTTATGACCCTGAAGAGTCCCTGGATGTTCACACGTCATCCTGCATGGCCGAATAGTACATTTACGAAGAACAACTCCCCACGTCTGTCTTCATGACAGCTCTCTTTTCTAATTTTAACTTCAACAGTGACAGCAGACCTCCAAGCAGCTGTCAGCAAGTTGACGGAGAGAGTCAATGCCCTTGACATGAAATCCCCTGCTGCTCCGGCTGCAGTGAGTTTTACTCTTTGGCTAAATATTTAGGTTTTTTGCCCTTCCGTAGTAAGGTCCCCCCCAGTGTTCAAATGTGATAATGAACTGGTTTGAATACTTCCTCTTACCTCTCATTCATCAGATGTTTGATAGAATTTTTGGGTCAATCATCGCAAATGTCTTTGTCTTTCTGTGATGTCAACCTTGAGCTCATGTGTACATGGTCTCAAGTTCCAAAGTTCCATCGGATGTAATCAATGCCAGTTCCCACTGTTACACTATTTGAACCAGCCAGCTGACCATGGCCAGTGTTGTAGTTGATTGGTTCGAAGACATCTGTGCTGCCTATGAAATCACCAAAGTAAGACTTGTAGAAGGTTGCTCACCATCTTTTTGTTGTTCTGTCTCTGCAGGCTCCCGTCAAGAAGCAAGAAACGCCAGTACAAGATGAGGAAGATGATGATGATGATGATGACATTGATCTCTTTGGTGACGATGATGAAGTATGTGGAGAGATACTGTAGAGAGAACCTTCTGGAGGCTGGCACTCAATTACAATTTGACCCTAACCTTTCTAGATTCATTAAACTTTGGGAAGAATTTTGTTCCAATTTTGGAAGTTAAAGCCAGCCACTGTTACCTCATGCAAAACTTGATGCCATTGAAAATTACAAGAATTTTTCAATAAGGCGTTTTACCCAGCACTGACATGTATTAAAGAATAAATACACTCAGTGTTTTCCAAGAGTTTGTAAAAAACCAGAAGCTATACTTGGGTAGGACTCGAACCCAAGACCTCCTGCTTACTTTTTCAGACGTCTTACTGTCACAAGCCCTCGGACAACACTGAGTATACAGTGTTTATATATATTATGCACACCCTTCAAGGCAAAACACCAGATATGAAACATTGACATCTCCCTAAGGCAAAACTACGTCTCATTAAAATAACATGAACCAAGAATACAACTGGGTTCCTACACTGGGTTGGACAGGGGAGGACTCAGATGTAGGTTCTGAGAAAACAAGCCCAGGGAGTTAAATTTGAAGGTCAAAAGGGATGTAGGTGGCTGTTCTGACGCATGCCGACCAGACTACAGTGAGAAGGCTCAAGCCTAATGACGAGCTAGTTTCCTGTCAAGCGTTCTCCTAAACACCTTCATTTCTGTTGGGCTGTCTGTAGGATGAGGGAGACGCCTTGGCACAGATCCAAGCAAAGAGAGCAGCAGAGGAGAAGGAGAAGACAAAATGTGAGTCTGTGCACACAATAGGAGAAGTAGCAGACCAGGGAAGGTTTAGCCCAGTCACTGGTACATTGGGAAGGGCTTTACGATGCCCATTCAAAGTACACATCAAAAGAGCGTGTCATGCGCCATGTGAAGAACTGTGTTATGTAGCAGAATTGCCTTGAGAGTTTGGCTTAAGATGGAATGTGAAACTACTTGCTGTTCTGTTAAGGTTGCGTGCATCTGCTACGTCCTTAGTGTGCATTGTAAGTATAAGAAATGGACATGGTTTTATCATGAGTTGGGCTGATGACTCCAAAATCGATAATCTCCATGGTTACAGTTGTGTGCTCTCTTTTTGATTACTCAGCAAAGAAACAAGTCATTGCAAAGTCAAGCATAATTCTCGATGTCAAACCGGTAAGTGCTCGCCTTTCTCTGAAACACTAATATGCTTCTGATAAGCCATATGCAAAGATTATACAAACTTATTGAATGAAAATGAGACATCAAACTTTTCTTTTGGTTTTGGCTGTGGCTGGACCAAGCATTGTTGTATGATAATGATAGTTATTCCTTATCATAAGACGATAAGTATACTCTTCTGCGTGTTACCTACCTCATTCCTTTTGCAACAATGAAATCAAGCCATATTTGTTAAAATAATTACAAACTTTTCAGTCAAAATACACCCGATGATATTGACATATTAATGGATGGCTGCTGAGATAGGTGTCTTTCCGGGCGTGCTGAGATGGGCACACATGCAGGGTTGGAGTGTTGGCTTGGTTTTTGATATTGTCTCCTTTATTCTGGAAAGGTTTTAATTGTCAGAGTTTCTTCTTTTGTTTTCCTCCTCCTCATGGTGTGTTTGGATCTCAGTGGGACGATGAAACAGGTGAGGAATTGATCACTGTTAACGATTCTTCCAACCAATTCAAACGTATGAAAATATATCCCTTTCCATGTAGAATCTAATCCTGGCTGTATAAACAATTTTATTATTTAATGAGGTAGGGAACAGAAAACCTTCTTTACCCCCAGAAGAGCTGACAAGACCATCTCTCCAATGTAACATGCAAAATTTTCAGTTTTCCCAATTATGATTGAAGAAATGTCCAAATAATGGGCTTCTGTGAGTCCCTTTTTCGCCAATTTCAGAAACACCCGTTATGTGTTAATGATATGCCATTGACCCCAAAATATCACAGGGAAATACGGCTGTAAACACTGCATCTTCACACACAAGTCTTATAGAAGAGGCATGCTCCAAATGCCAAGTTCTTGTCCACTGCATTCGTTGTTCCATACATCAAGTTTAAGTACATGATTTGGTGTGTTTTTGTCACGAAATAAAACATACCCCGGTCTTGTGCAGTTCAGACAGGAGTCTCATACACTGAGACTTGGTCTCGAGGTTTCCATGCAATAACTCGTAGAATTAATCGTTCCTGGACAACACACCAAGGGTAGCTATTAAACCCTCCCGGTTGTCACAGACAAGTAATATGCCAAGGATTTTGGGAGTACTGCTTCGACAAATATCCAATGTCTGCAAAAGCAGTGCATAATCCTCGCTGACTGCATGTGTTGTGTCGCAGCTGCCACCACATGGTGCTGTGCAGCTGGACCACTGCTAGGTTTGGGACCGCACCGCAGACCTGCACGACGGACAGGTTCTGTGCCGCCATCGTCATTCATCACCGAGTAAATTCTAGTTACATTCACAGGGATTGAATCCACTCTCTTTCACAAGATAAATCTGATACGTGTTCATTTGATTTTCTGCGACACACTGAAAATTGTATACTCGGCAAACAAGCACGCTCGCACGTGGGTTGCTGTCTTTATTTATTAGAAGCTTCACATGTACTGTACATACATACAAGGTAGCCCGTGATTCAGCCCAAGATTCAGGTCTGGGTACTCATACGCTGACTGCGAACACGAGTGCCCTCTAACATGTATGCCATGCAAATGACTTTCCTCTTCACCTTCAATGTCTCCTACTCCTTCATTTCAGAACAAATCTCACAATTATTTTGACAAGCTAAGAGTAAGATTTTAGGTTTATGCATCTTCAAGATTAATGTATGATATTGTGCATTTTTTACGCGTCATCAAACCCCCTCTTTTTAATGCATTTGGGCCGCAATGATGATGCCAGTTTACATGGTATTTTCATGCATGCTTCATGCATGCATACTGTGCCTTTTTTGCCTGTTATGCCGTCAACCCAACCCAAGAAAAACTCAAAATTTGACCACCCATGTTTCTGAAATTGGCCCAGTTGGTTGTGGACAGAAATTGCCTCTTACATCTACATGTATTTCTCTTGTGTTGATTTTCAGAAGATAAAATCATTGTATCCTGGTTTCTATCTACCTCCCAAACCCTAGATGTTGCAATATTTGATGCCTTTTCCCTACCTCTTTAACGATTGTGATTATTCATGTGTGTCTTATATCGCTATAAGTGTTTTTGTTACTGTATTTTCTAAAGCCCCTTGTAACTTACATGAACCAAGAAATTGACTGATTGGGAGTGGAACTTGCAACCTCCTAGAACACTGTACCACCTGAGCTATCCAGTCCTGTGTAGATGGTTTCTCTCATTTTACAACATGTGTTCGATTGTGCTATTCAGAAGCCATGAAACCCAGAAAAACATATAACCAGGCGTCAGTCCCCAAAGACACAACACAAGCAATGTCGGCAATAATGCACATCCAGGAACTCAGTAGTTTCCTATTGCTGGCTGTAACTTCTTGAATACAGTAAACTCCGCCTAAGTCGGCACTCTCAGGACTCAAGAAATTATGACGACTTACGCGAATGCCGACTGGTGCTGTAAGTCGTCATTTTGCTGACTTACACGTACACATGTATTGCCTTTGTACATTATGATTCCTTGCATTAATTCAGTGGCTTGGATTTACCCTGGTTTATTTCTACCTCCATGGTTGATCCTAGCAAGTTCGTTCTTGATTATTATCCTCATGGGCTGCAAATTGGATAATTGATCATGTGCCCCAAAGGACGAAGCAAGGATGGCAAGCCACTTGCACATCACATCACGACTCAACAATGCAGTATGTACGTGATACAGTTACGGTACAGAAAACATACTCTCATCCGCACATGCTTGTTTAAGTTCGTTCAATAAGGCGACCTCCAAAACAGACACAGCGCATGCATGTAGCACTAGAGGGGTGACTGGTATTGATGTACTCATGCTGGCCGATTATCAACAGCGGCCTGTGCTGCTAATAATCAGTCAAGCAGTGTGGGACTTGTCACGTGACACTTCTTGGCAGCCACGGTGAAGGAAACTGATACCAAAGCACAATGTTTTTTTTTAATGCCGACTTACGCAAAGGAATTTTTGTGGTTTTGTGGAAAAGGGACCGAGAAAAACATGCCGACTTATACGAAATGACGACTTATGAATGCCGACTTAGAAATGAAATTTTCAATGAATATGCATTACAGACGATTGGGACTTGTGTCAAAAGGCTAACTTAGACGATATGATGAGTTACGTGATGCCGACTTAGGTGGAGTTTCCTGTACCAAAATGTACCGTTAACCATGTTATGTTTCCTGCCCACACCATAATATCAATTGGTTTGAATGTATTTCATCCAGACATGCATGAAATAGAGAAGCTGGTCCGAACAATCCAAGCCGATGGTCTTCTATGGGGAGCATGTAAGTTTGATCCACCCTTTACTTTCAATAAACTGCTCCCCTTCTTTGGGGAGATGTTAATTTGTATAACAGGTTTTGCCCTAACCCAACGTATATATTGATAAACACTGTATGCTCAGTGCTTGTCCGAGAGCTTGTGAAAAAATTCACAAGCTTACTCGGGTGGGACTCGAACTCACGAACCCTAAAAAAAATACATCTTGAAACTATATTTCCTACTATTTTGTCACAGCTAAATTGGTACCTCTGGCATATGGCATTAAGAAACTTCAAATCGGCTGTGTTGTCGAAGATGACAAAATTGGGACCGATTTCCTGGAAGAGGAGATTACAAAGTTTGAAGATATGGTAAATATGAAAAACCATTTATTCTGCAAACTTCGCTTTATACCCCTGAATTGTAAAGCTTTCATTCATTTTTTACCTTGAATTTGGAGAGTAAAAAATGGTGATAGTGCCTGAAATGTCATTTTCAGCATTGCTACCAAATAGCTTGCCTCCGTGTTGATTTTTGATTTGTCCAGAGAGCAGAATTTTCACTTTATGTTGCCTCCTAAAAGCAAAAAAAAAGGAACATTGGACTACGCAGTATCAGTCATCACTGACATATCATATTGATTGCATTGATATTTTTTTAATCCATCGTGATGCTCAGTAGAAAATAGTTTGACCCAGATATGAGAAAAGCCCGATATCTGTGTTTACATAAACAACTGTATACAATGTCATGTATGTAGAGTAGATTTTACAGTGTAACTGTCATGTAAAACTATAAACAATTTACTCATGATTTAAAGAGCAGTGTAGCAACAACATCATGCTGTTGTAAAAAGCAAATTTTGAAGGTTGTAATCTCTTGAAGCCTTTGATTTTGTTTCTGATGTTTTCCAGTCCTTTTATAAAAGGTTCTAACTATAAACAAGATAACTTGGCAGATGCCAACAACCTAGTCATGGTGAAAGAGTTTGCTGTTATCACAGCGGTGCGTCTTTCTATGCCCCGCTAACAAAGTCAGCTTGTGTTTGTTTACACATCATTCTTGTTCCTTTCATTATTCAGGTACAGAGTGTAGACGTTGCCGCCTTCAATAAGATCTAAGACTGAGCCGAGATCAATGGATACACCTAACAGCTCTTTGGAAAATTCATCTCTCTGCTTGGAATTTCCACATATACCACTAACACTAGTTGTCTATTGTCTCTTTGAATATGCAACTGTCATATGGCATGGGCTATTCCACACCATACATCTGTGGCACGACTCAGACTTAGGTAGAGAATAGATTGCTAGATACAAAGTACCTCAGGCTGTAATTAAGTTGGCTAACACTGCCATAGCATTTGGGAGGGTTCAATTAAACTTCAAGCCACAAGGAAGTTTTTTATTGCAACCATGACAGTTCTCAAATTTCGGTTATACAGTGCCCCCTTTGTGTTTATTGAAAATATTGGTTTACTGGGTTACTTTATAGAAGCTTAGATGCTTTTTCAAAATATTGTGATTGAATGAATTTCTACAAGTGCCAGGTTGGAACTGTCTTAGCAATCAGACTGGTTGGATGCCATCTCATTGACCGGGTGTGGCCTTGTTCAGAAGAACCAATCAAATTTAGCCATGACTTAACACTGTTTGGCTTGAAGTACACACCACTTTGGGGGACTGAAAAGACACTTTTTTCAACAGATTTCTGTTCCAGCATACCAATGTATTGCTACTGAAGCATGTTCAGAACCTTTGTAGGCTTGATTTATCTGTCAAAGTTGCCTCTGAAGTAAATGGAGTGGAGCGTGAACATTGCCACTGAATTAATAAAGAAGATGAAGTTAAATATGCAATTTGACAGTTTTTTATACGAGCTTCATTAATGTTGGCCCGGCCGTTTAAAAAAATTATAGAGCAGCAAAAGGTTATCGGAGAAATTTCATATTAGTGAATTATTTTTAAAAAAGGTTTGATGAAGCCGAATAAGCCTGGTAAATTTCAATTTGAAATTTCTGAAAAGAATTCTTATTTCAGAAAAATGAAAGCATACGACAAGGTTAATCCCTTGGAAGTTCCATTTTCGATAGATTTTGCAAGAATTCAAACTGAAACCCTGTCAACTTGCAAGATGATTCCTCAACTTTCGGAGGAATTCGTGAACATTCTGTTTCCTTTTAAAAAAGGAAAGACTAACCCCTTGCCAAATAAATTTTGATGGACTTAAAATTTTATATTTCAGTTCTAACAAAAGCAACATTTTGGCAAAAATGTTAAAAAATTCAAACTTTCAACAATGCTGGTAAATCGCTTTTAATCCTGAAACTTAATGGCTTGGATGGTTTTCAAACATTGCTACTGATAAGTAAAAGCAAGGCTGATCTTTTCGAACCTGAATGTGAGCAGAATCATTAATTAAAAATTAAAAAATGGATAAGACTAATTCCAATGGAATTAAACTTTTGGCAAAATGTTCAAAACTTATAATTTCAGAAAAAAATAGGTTAATAACACAGACCCTTCAGGGATTTTTTCCACTTCAAAACGTTATATTTTCCAAAACTCCAATTTCCAAAACAAATGGCAGAACCCTTTGAACTGAAAATCAAACTGTTTCTTGCAAAAGTTCAACTTTCAGGCTTTGATAAACTTATTTGTTAATCCTCGTTTAAATGGCCCACTGGATTTGGATAACATATTTTAATAACATGGAACCATTACATATTCAGACAATTTCTTAAATTATCAAGGTACAGAATAGAGGTATATTAGGTGCTTCTAACTTCAGGCTGAAATAAGGCATTGACGGTGAAATCGGAAATTATTGAGATTGTGAGATTGACTGCAACCTACGGACGGGAATGTTTCATGTTTACAAGTAAATGCTACCTTGCTTGGAATGCACATTGGGTGCCTTAAACCAATATTTTTGAAAGAAAAGTTAAGTGTTGTCTTTTCTGAGGCCTGTTTTTACTTTTCACTCGGAATTGTCCCAGAGGTACTGTCAGCAGTGTGGCTTCTCTTATCGTTCGGAAGTCGGACTGTTCATTTCAGTAACGGCGGTGGAACAATTTTCAAATGGGGGGGGGGCGGTCGTGAGACCATGATTACGCAAACATAATTTGCATAAAATTATAGACCCATCCGTTAAGCTCCTCTCTATAGGACTGGCCAACAGTGGGTTGCAAACTCTAGACGCTGAGACTATTTGGCGAGGAAACTTCACACCATTTCGTTTTCCAAATTCCTTGAGGGCGCCCCGTCTAGTATCCCAATACAATAACGAGGAAATGTTGACAATTTAAACTTTATTTCTTCCCGCGCCTCGGTTTTGGTTCTTGAAAATCTTCATCGCACAAGATTTTGTATTTTAGGCTCCACACGGGACAATTAAGATTGATGTGCACACATGTGGCGAGATAAAGTAATTTTTTTTCAGAACAGTTAATTTGGACATCTACCTTCCGCAAAATAAATTGTTGATAGGAGCCATAAAAGGGGCCAGCAGTGATATTCGCCTTGAGCAAAGGCACCCCTTCATCATGGGTTGAAAAGAGCCCCATTGGCAGGGAATGTTCATTTTGTTGGTAGCACTGTGAATGCAACGCTTGCATTTCATGGTCATTCGTGAACCAACGAAGTGCAGTTCCTACCAATGGGGCTTCCGTTGCTAGGAAAATCGGGCCTTGGTCCCGCTCGGGGCCCATAGGGTGTGGTGTTTCAAGTGAAGGAAAAACCCTATAAGCACATGGGCGTAAATTCCAGGGGGATGGGGCTACATCTCCCCATACTTTTTGACGGGGGAATGGGCTATTAAATAACCAACCTCCCCCCTTCAGGGGACAACATTTGAAAAAAAAGCTTCACTTACACTTATTGATGTAAGGTTCAGGGTTGTAAGAATACCTACATGATGTACATCTGTATCACGAACAGTGCCATGAGTATCATATGATGTCAGCACCCACCTTGCATATTTTCATGGCTAGGCAATGCTTTGATTTATATCATCCTAATACCCCCAGACCCCATCATTCCCCAGTCCCCCACACAAATTACATCACAGCATTAGCTCCACTTTAACAGTTCCTCGTGATAGTCTTGATAGATGTATATTCCATGTCTGGCCCTACCAATTTACGGGGTTCACTGCTCAACTTAATTGAATATACAGAAATTTCCTCAATAACGATGTAATTACCCCGCAAGCATTAGCGAACACAATTCTGCCCAATAATAAGAATCGATCACAGGTATGCGGCGAGAGTTAATACAGTCCCAGTGGACGCGATCGGGAGTTAAGTCCCCGTTGCAAGGTCATTTCGATTTCCCGCTCTTCATCGTCCTCGTTTCCCTTGGGCCCACCGCAAGACGACAAGCTGCTCTAGGAGTAGTTTGTCGCCGCAGATTCAGCATTAATGTTCTAGTAAGGTCTCGCAGCTGCAATCGAAGGCGTCCGTGGACTTTGCTAAACCGTTTTTCATGCAGAGAGAAAGCTGTTTGTGCAGCTGATGTGAATGTCATTGTACAGACCAAATGATACACAATTCCGCTTATGAAGACTACAATGAATTATGGAAAAATTCAAATGAATGGTGCTGAGTGGATGAACTGTAGACCTCAACAGTGGCACATCGTCCTCTATACGCAACCCTACCCTACGTTTTGTGCTAAACATAAATGCTATTTAACCTATTCAAGTCAGACCACGTTATACTGTTTTCTTCTTTGTATTCCAAACCTGGAACAATCTTCTACCGTCGATACCAACTTGCCCTTCGAGTACAAATTAAAGGTGTTCCTACTATCTTCCCAGAATACCTAATTCATTTTTGTAAACACAAAGTCAGCCATTAATGGTCAGTTATTTACTGATGTGTCTACCTATTATTTGAACTATCGTTATTCTTTCTAAAATTCCTACTTGTCTTGTTTACTTTAATTGTTAAATATTATATTCTTGTTCTTGATGTGTTGTTTTTCTGGCTTTATCCTGAATAATGTTGGGCACATTCACCACAAGCTTCAGCTTTTAGGATGACGCATTCATTAAGTGTTAATAAATGTTACTGAATTGATTGATTGATTTTACTCAGTGCGATATAAGTCTATAAAACAGCAGAACTGCCTGTCTCCAAATGCACCAAGACAAGAAAAATCTTCAAAGCCTGAATTTTTGGGCAGTCCGGACCCTCCCTTTAAAAAAAATGATTACCAATGTGCATGTTGTCCTTTAAGCTCTTTACGCCAACATTTTGCACATGCCCACTGGTTACATTTTCCAAACACTTTTTTCCCGTAAAGAATCCAGGAGAAGTGGTTGTGGTTATTTAAATGATTAAAACCTGAGAGACATTATTTGATACAATCCAGTAAATCCACAAATGCCAAACACATTATCTGCAACAAAAATACAGCTCTGGAACAATTATTGGACCGCTAATGTGTTTTCCACGTTTCACATTATATTGAGTCATTTTAATACATATGCAAATTGTTTTTAGCTGATAAAATTGGAAACTGGAAAAAAGTACAAACTTTATCGATTTTACTGCCAAATTCCTCTTGGATAGTTTCAAAACCATCATTTTATGGTAATTCTCTTTTTCAAATTGACCATAAGAGCACTGTGCCAAAGGAATTTAAATTATGCAGATGTCATTACAATTATTGTAAAACACTGTCATTTTGCGGAATGCTTTCACTCATAGTATGGCAGTTGACAACAATTCATCAGTTAATCATGCCAAACAGTAGAGAGTTGAGCGACGCAACAAAGAACTCCATCCTGATTTTGCTGCATGAAGGCCACAGTGAGAGACAGGTGGCTACAAGCATACACGGCTCAATGTTTCGAAGACTGCAGTCCACTACACTAAGACGAAGCAGGAGAAGCATGGAAACACCTAGCTGCAGCCAGGTAGAGGCAGGAAAGGACTTTCTTCCACTCGAGATGACCGCTGTCTTATCCGATCATGCCTGAAAAATCGACGATTGATATCCAGTGATCTTAAGAAGGTGTGGGAAAGTTAAACCACTGTGAGATGTTCAGCGAGAGAAGTCTGTAACAGACTCGTGGAAGCGGGCTTGAAGTCACACAAGGCCAGAAGGAAGCCCTTCATCAGTGAGAAGCAGAATCGGACGGTTGATGATTGGGCTCAAGTAATCTTCAGCGATGAGTCTAATCTCCAGTTGTTTCCTACTCCTGGACATGTGATGGCGAGGAGAAGGTCAGAAGAAGCTTACAAACCTGAATGTTTGATTCCTAGGGTGAAATTTGGTGGCGGTTCTGTGATGATATGGGTTTGCTTTTTGAAGGACAGATGAACCAGAACACATACAGACAAGTTCTGGCGGAAAACCTACCGCCATCAGCCAAGTGTTTGTTTCCAAACTCTGAGAATTGTTTTTTTTTTCAGCAGGACAATGCCCTTGTCACACAGTCAATCAAGACATGGGTGGCTGATAACAACATCCAGATCAGGTCCTGGCCCGCTTAGTCACCAGACCTGAACCCCATTGAAAATTTGTGGAACAGTATAAACAAAAGATGCAAGAGCATAAGCCATCAAATAAAGCAGAGCTGTTTGACTTTTTTGCATCTCGAGTGGGCAGCAGTGACACCTGAAGGATGTCGGAAGCTAGTGGACAGCTTGCAAAAACGCATTAGGGCTGTCATCAAGAGCAAGGCCATGCCACCAAATACTGATATCAGACAGACCTGTTTGATTTGTGGTCACAAAATCACAGCTGTAGTTGGGCCGTTTCTCCAATCTAAAAGCAAGACAAAAATGGTAACATTAATTGATGCAGCATTCGTATCACTGCTGTCTGGTCTAAACATTATATTTGAAGAAAATGAAATGTTGTTGGACTTTCTTTTGTGCTTTTCAGGTGAATTTATGTTTAAAATAATTAATTAATGGGACGGTCAAGGATGAAGTATATGTCATGATCACAAGCACCTTCTAGTTGACATAAAATGACTAAAAACATTAACGGTCTAATAACTTGTTCCAGAGCTGTACATGGAAGGGAATGATGTTCACGTATTCATTCTTCTTTAAGCGTACGGTTATACATGTAGGCCCTATTCATAACAAGCAGGTTTATGATGAGAAAATAGTCAACGTTGTAGTAAGCAAATTACTGCCGATGGCATGTATGCAGATCGAAATCTACAATTTAAAATTTCATTAGGCCATGATGAGTTTTGACAAACACCAAGAATCATTTCTATGTCGTATCATATATATCTTAAACTTTGTTTGTTAGCTGCTCTATGGTTTTTGATTAGTCACATACTAAACGATAATGACAACGGCATGATAGTTAAATTCTGGAAGCCAAAGTTTATCAATTCGCTCCACGGTGGTCCTTTAGAGAGTACTCGAGTATCATGATTATTGGACGTGCAAAATAAACAAGTCTCTGGAATTTTCCATTACCCTCCATTTCCGGGGTTGCTATTATTCATCACGTTGTTTAGCTGCGGTACATTCAGACAAAGCTTACACAACCCCGTAGCCTTGATCAACTTAATTTACACTGTAACTAGGCGGATTGGGTACGGATGAATCGGGCGATCAGGTGGATCCTATGGGGAATAGTTTAAAAAGGATTTTTGTGTGTGTTATTTTGTGACCTGCTGCGCTGATTTCGCCGAATTTGTGGATTGATCGTTGAAGCAATTCAGCTGACATAGATGTACACTTTGATTTTTAGTGGGCGCTAGCGCTCCGCAGGCATTGTTAATGTATGAAAACCCATACGTCATAGACGAGTGCCTGCATAATAATTCATCGACTTCAAAAAGCTCTATGGGATGTTGTCATACAAAATAATGCTTCAAATGAAGCATTATTTTACTGATCGCTTGCCTCTAAAGAATCAGGTTGTTTGAACAAGTCACCCGTATACAGGCGACTTCATAAATTTGTCATCCCGTTGAGACGAATCCCTTCTGTCAGGTCCGCGCACCGACCATTCATTATTCATCCCATTTGCTCAGGGCAACTGGGGGGCTCGTGCAGCCTTCTATTGGGCTATGAACGTGATGAACGCTGGTGATGGCTGTGTTCCGCGGTAAGAACACACTGTAAAAAACGCTGGGTAATCTATCTCTCAACGCAGGGTACCAGGTGAATTGTGTAACTGTTGGCTATGTTATAGACAGATTACCAAACCGCCACGATCTTACCCGAGGTATCGACAATTTATCTTTATTTATCCAGTAGCTGCAGAAGTGTTCTTTGTACAACTTATTTTACCAGCGTTAATGCGTTATCATCATTTCACCCAACACCTAACCACGTAACTGCTTTGATTTGACCGTTTCATCAACCGGTAGAGGGCGCCATAAGTGTGGCCACGTGTGATACCCTATGAAGCGCCCGTAACTCAATTGTTTGTAACCTTCAGGTATTTCTAGACACGTGTGGCTTGAATGCTGCATCGCTAGCGGAACTGTACTTTCCATACCACTGCACTGTCAGTGAATTACCGTCGGCTAACAACGATCCGCAGCGCTGGCTCCGACTCTGACGTCACTGTGATTTCACGCGCTGGCTGACACTACCAGGAATTTACAGAAAGGTGTGAAACGACCAGACGCAGTGCGGGCAACCTTGTACTAATGCATTCATCGTTGACCCGAGTGAAAAACATGTTATCGATTTGAATATTGCTCCATGTGCGAATGCACCAGGAATGCCTACCTGTCATATTAAATTGCAAATATGACTTTACAAGACAACCGTAACACGATTTTGGCAAATAGCCAAATACGTCAGGCTGTTGCTAGACTTGTTTTAAAATTTCCTCACTTGTTACAAACCTCGAAGGCTCACTGGACGAGAGAATTATTGGGGCCAAATAAGAAGAAAAACGAGAGTAAGGGGTTGAAGTTCTCCTGTAGAAAAGCCTCAGAGAACTTGATTTGTGCCACTAAGATACTTCCCGTGGAAGGGGAAATCAAACAACCAAACCATCTGGAGGTTAAAAGGCTTTCTGGCACGTCGACAGTTTCGTCAATTAAACAGCAAAACCACTGGATATAAAGATAGACAGATATTTACTATTGAGCTTCAATCACCAATTTGAACGTAACATTTATGATCTCCTGTGAAATCCTCTAAAAGGTTAACTACTAATTTAACTAGTACAGAGCGCCGAAGTGTGACGTCATTTTGAACTGGTAAGTGTAGTGTAAATGTTCGTATGTGCCATCCTTTTCCCTATTAAATCTAGGTTTGTGGGCGTCACTTCAGAGGAAACATCATCTATAGGGCTGGCCATGTTGTGCGATTATGTCAGTGCCCAGGGTATATACAGCACAAACGTAAAAAATCTCTGATTACCACTCGTTACAGAAACAGTGGAAATACAAACAGCACCCTCTGACAGATGTTCAAGTAAATCAGCGTACTAGGAACACATGTCTACTTAAGGTAAATTCTCTGTAGACGGGGGACGCACACATTTTGTTTCTGGCGGGCACCGAATGCCGTTGATTGATTGACTGTGTACATATCAAATTTTGAAATAAGGGGGGGGGGGGGCACGGACTTCTCCGGGGGATGGGGGATCCGGGACGAGGGACAGGCTTCCTTTGTAGTTATGCTTCTGACAAGGAATACCATTTGTCCTGTGGACTTTGGTGACACCTTTGTGCCCATCAAAACTCTTAGTACGAGCACTGCTAGGAGTGCCATGCATGTAGGGCCTATCACTAAAACACGAAACAATCACATTTGACTTTGTAATGTATAGAGATGTTGGTCTTGTGCAAAACGTATGATGCATTCCTAATCGACATGACAACAAAATGCGCTCGTGCCTGCCTTCAATAATACGTGTGCAATAGCCAAACTCAGCTCAAAATGGATTCCAAAATTCTGTTATTAAGATTTCCCTCGTAATTACAGATGTGATGTTGCAAATTATATTTTGATAATCTGACAGCCGGCGTGTATGCTGCACGAGGTTCACGAAATTGCTTTGTGGGCGAGAATAGAACGCCAGCAATGCCTGTGATGCATAGCGGAATGTGGGGCGTCTTTCCTCACCTGTGCTCGTAACCGGTGTGCGCAGTTTGCCCGGGAATATCCCTCTGTATAATAATGTGCGCATAATAAATGCGGGCCAGATGAGTTAATAATTCATCTGTCGTGGCGGAGCATAATAAACAGGGTTCGCTTCCTGTCACCGTGGCGGCGCAACCCTGGCTAGTCAGCTGCGGAAATCCAGGCCATTTTTCCCGGCTTGGCAACGACAAGCTGGAGACCGCCGTTTTTTTTCGCCAATTCCCCACCCACTCGCTATGATGACCGGCGCGCGGCGCGCTGCACGTCACATGCTCACCAAAGCTAAGGGCGACGACAGCGATCGTGCCCACACATAAGTACATATCTCTGCATATCATGTAGCCATTCCACGATCTGGGTGCAGATACGACCGTAATGTCGAGTCGCTTAGGTTATCGTGTTATTCGCCATGCATCGCGAGCCCATGTGCCTTTGATACGCGAGTGCCAGCAAAGACGCCAACATACTTAAGATGTAAATTGTCTGTGACAGGCCAACTCTTGCCGATGATTACCGCACATGCCTCATCTATGGGCGGCACTACATTACATTGAGGTCATGGCTCTGGAACATCAGTTATAGCAGAGCATTAAAAGGTACATACAATCATCATCTGACAGGTTGGCGTAAGGGCTGTAGTAATGTGCCTTTAAGCTCCAGTTATCTGAGTCAGCGTACTCCGTTGGATTCACTGTTAATGTGGGACGCCGGTTTAGGGGGAGTGAGAGCTGGCCTGCCCGTCTGACTTATCCCATTCTGCTCCTAGCGCTGATCCACGCAACGTGCCAACTCTGAAGTGGCTTCGGCAACACGTATCCCTCCTCGTTCGTCTACGGTAGACGGGTAAGTAACAACATGTGGTTTGGGTAATGTGCTGCATGCCTCGTGGTGTCGCCATCAAAAGGAACCTATCAATGATTCTTATAATGTGGCTCTGGTCTATCTACTTGTTGGCATAGTTCCAACTCGATGTCAATTTCTACCACAATTAAGCTATAGGTAATCTAGTCTTTAGTTAAGGACTCCAGAAATATTTAACACGACACAAACTGTAGTCTCCTTTTTCCACTGCATCAACACGCGTACAGCAGATACAGGAGTTTGAAACAGAACTGTTGGATCATGCTACTTCCTCAAAGCAGAAGGCCTAATATAATATTACATGTAGGCCCACTGTTATTGTACATGTAACGCTCTACAGCGACACGTCATCTCGAGTGGTTGTCTTGGTTGTTTCTGATCACTTGTTGGAAACCCTCAAAGCCAAGCATTTTCCCGTGTCAGAACACACAGAAAGGTTGAAAATGACCAAGGCAGACCATAGGCACAATACACCGCTGTTGAGACGGTTGATTGCAGGTCCTCAGAGCACGTGTCGTGGGATTATGAGCTGTGCATGCAACTGCGTTGGGTTAAATTTGAAGCCGAACGGACGCTGTCGGGCCAAGATTTAAAAGGCGGGCGGTGGCGCATGCATTTTGACGGGAGCATTCCCACGGGTCATGGCCTGCTTCACTGTGGTGTTATAGACGCACACATTTGCACGCGCCTGTGTAAAAACGTCACATAAGAAAAGCCAAATATCAATAATCAAAGAAATTTAGCGATATCCCTGTCGTCCGGTAGCGTAGATTCATGTCGAAATTAGGGGATTTTAACATAAAAGTTACCAAAATTCTTTAAAATTAAAAACATTATTAAAATTCATTCAATTCAAGTGCAATTAGCGTCAGACCAATTCTTTGTTGAGTCGTCATACTGTCTGATCCCCTAAAGCATGGAAATCCTTGGATTCATCGCTCAATCGTTAAGGACATCACCAGATAGGTCTATACATGTATTCCATCGTGCCTGCCAGTGGAACAGCGTTTTGTGGCAATGCCAATTAAGCCAGTGATTAAATCGCCAGACAAGCGTCTGTCATTACTCTTGCACGACATTGAAATGTCAATGTCTACTATAAACAGCACAGATTTCAAATACTCTTTACTTCATGATATCTTTCAAAGATGACTGGAATGAACTCTGAGTGTAATCCACATTTAATACCATTTTCGACTCGGTGATAAAACTGCACTTTCCGTTTCAACTTGTTACAACAACCCTCACATCTTCTTACGAGCACTGTCGGGAGTTTTTTCGTCTACGAAAATGAAAATTAGGTTTTTTTTAACCCAACTCATTGATTTAAAAAAATATAAGAAAAAGGAGGCCAACTTTAAAACTGAACATCGAAACGGTACATGTAAGATGTGAACCTAGCCTGTAACGAAAGGTTAATGGAAAACAACCTTTACGATATTTATACTGGGCGAAAGATGTAATTCACCTTATAGAATTACAGTGGGTACATATTCCATTTATAATAACTATAATTTTCATTACGCGCTTCGACCTTTTAATAAATACATGCGCGTCATGGTACATTGGCTTCGCTGGTAAAAGTAACTGTACGTTTCTACATTATCATTAAAACATCACCGAGTCACCTGTAACCATCTTCATTTCTGGAGAAATAAACAAGGGACTCATTTATGCGTCTAATTTAAAGGGGAAATGACTGGAAAACATCCAAGTCAATAAGTAGAAATTAATGAAGCTATAATCATTACAAAATAATAATTTTCAAGGGTTCAGGGCCATAAGGGATTGGTTTTACCAGGTTGATAAATAACGCGCATTGTAATGGCAGCATTTGATATAACATTTGCTTGGTGAAAGAATCATGCACGCGAGGAGGCAAAATGTGAACGCATTACGCGTTATGTTGCTGTCATATGACTATATGCATGCACATAGCACCAACGGTAGATTCGTCGCCGAAGGATGGAACCTTACCTCTGCATCCAACAGGCAATCAATGTAAACTGAGGTCCTTGCCTGTACAGGCACACGAAAACGGCCTTGGGTACGTGCAAGGTGGGTGAGATTTAATTAAACATAAACACCAAAATGTTGCAGGCGAAGTGGGCCGGCGGAAATGAAAAAATAAACAACATCGTTTGCTAGTTCTGCGTCTTATATAGGCGGCACACACGTCCAGTGTTGATTTTTTTTCTGACGAAAATTCAACGTGAAAATTAGTATTAAACCAGATGTGCCGTTTCGAGGGAAAGAGTCTTTCTTTTTTCCCCTCCTCACACGTAGATGAGGTTAGTCAAGTAAAAGTGTCTCACACTGATTGGCAAGATGTTTTTCATCGAGGCCCTCTGCGTGGCTTCCTGTCGCCCTATGTCGTAATCAGACTTCGGCTCAAGTATATGCTGTCTCTCTAAACCACTTCCTTCCTGTTTTTCTCCGTCACGAGACTTACGGTGGCCGCAGTTGTTAACTCCTGTGATTGAAGACTTGTCATGGTGAAACGATCGAAACCATTCACAGCTAGCTGTGTGGTTATATGATGGGAGCCATGGCTCAGTGGTTGATCTGTACTCGTATCTTGTAATCTGTGGTATTATGGAGATTTCTTTTTCCAAATCTCTATCAGTGTTATCGATTTGTGTAGTGGTTTCCATGCATCGAAGAGCTAAAAATAATAGATGGACGTAAACTCATGATAATTATATTGGCTCTATCAAATTTGGTTATTCATTGCGATTTCCTTGTTGCCGACCACGATTCTGTTACTAACGAGCAATAAGGACAAAGAAAAGGCGAGGCTTTGTCTGGTAAGTGCAAAAAACGCTGACAATGAAATGAAGCAAAATATAATGTGATTTTCTCTTGCTCAAAGGAAAGAGAATGTGCTGTCTGGAAATAAATGTAGTGTGCATCGTTCAGGACATTGTTGAAAACCCATTCCGTCACGTAGGCGACGTACCCGAATTCACATAGGGAAATATTATATCGTACTATTAGGGTATATGGAGACCAATATGGTCGTCGGTAAACGCCCCCGTACATTTAGAAGTGATTTGCAAATTGTAATTATCAATATAATTTTTGAAAGCAGGAGTAGGTCTATATCATTTTTACCGTTAGGTTAAGGTTTGGCTATTTCTATTTTTACAATCCCAAAATCTCCAAACTTTTGGTGAATATAATATTATTCAAAAACCCGAATTTTATCAAATCAACCAAGATTACATTAATATAAAGAGCAAAGAGACAATGTGATTTGTTAATAAGAATATTTAACACTTAAACACTGAAAAGCCTTTGGTATTGATTGAGCAACCGGGGTGTCATCAGAGAACTAAACTAAAGGAAGCCCCAATACTGAGCTATAGACTCAGATGAAAAAAAATTCTCTTCCAGATTTAGATTCAACTCTCAAGCACCTCCCAAGACGAACTTCTTCCATTTACTGCTCCACGGACGAGTCGAAAGCAGATTATGGGTCTTATATTATACAGAAGTCTCGACGCGTAAATCGCGCCTCAAAGCTCCGTACTCGTCCAAATCCTGCCGGAGGCCCATCATATTGTCTTTTCATAAGTTTTGTTATTTTTCCAGAAATTACTGCATCGTAAGTTTCTAGAAATTTCTTATAATAACATAAGTTCGCAAACTGAAATTAAAAATCTGGAGTACACCAACGTGTTTTAGCTCACACCAGATTCTCGTGTACCAAAAATAAATGAATCTGGTGAACAGACAAAATATAACATACAACAAACACTTCACAGCTGTCTTTTAGTGAATTGCACTCTATAACATAGGCGCTATGTTGCGCTAATTTCTGTGAAAAAACGATGGATTTTCGCTGGCATGTTATCAAAGATAGCACTTATCAAGGGCACAGTCAAAGGGCACGAACCACTGGTAACTGACATACAGTTTAAATGTAGAAACGAATTAAAGGAAATTACGAAGGTTTTTTATTGTATGCACTGTATGTCTGAGATTCATCCATATGGCTCACCATTAACTGAGCAAATCCTATGTAAGGGAATCAGATTAAGCAACTTCATTTGACGTTAGGTTACATAGCGCACACAAGGACAACCAGCGCATTCTACCCGAAACGTTGATCCGAAACATTGGTGATCTTTGCCTGAGTAAGTATATATCAGGCTTTAAATAACCCAAATGCCTAAAATTGGTATTTGCTTTTCAGTTCCTTGAGAATAAATAAACTATATCTTCTTGTGGTCCTTGTCTATTTTGAAGTTTTTACCCAAGTATTTCCCACAACAATTGAATTTAGAAAATGTTAGTGCCAAAAATATTTGTTTCGTTTGTATTGTCTTCCTTCAGAGTTTTTCTGCAAAGAAGGTGTGGAAATTGTGTATTGGGCACAATTGTTATTTTATTGATAGATTTCTTAAATGTCTGCGGAAGCAAAGACCAATAATAATGTCATGCTAGTCGTGCAAACAACTGATTGTGTTAGTCAGCAACTCAAAAAATTACCCTAACATTGCATCCCAGCCAACTGAGCGATGTAATATTGATGTATTTGGTGGATAACATGTTTGTTTCGCTGACAGACTTTTCTTGCGTACGAGATGTGTGCTTTTAATTGGGTGGCCATTGTTAAACGTTGTGCTTATAGCGCATGCCATACAGGCTTGTTAATCTTCTCCCATCAAGTAATGTGACAAATGTTGCAGGTAAATTTTCGTTGTGTGAACGAAATCCTCCTCCAAAACAAAACTGTTGTTGTCGGTAGTCATATAACTGAATCTTAATTATTACATTCGACATGAACCGTGCCCTAGCCTGAACACGACCGTCCTCGTTAACTTCGCCGTTCATCAACCGATCTTCCTGTGGAGCGGCCCTTCACACTCGCTCGACATAATGTTCGAGCAGCATCGGTAACACGTTCCTATTTGGTGATTAATGCAACATAGTTTGGACATTAAGAGCGATTTACGCCTTTCACCTTTACATTTTTT